CCGCGAATATTAAATTGGGCCTGGGTACCCCGCTGAGGAAGCGTGCTTGGATGTCAGCAGTAGGCTGTTGCAAATACTGCCATATTTCAATCTGGAAGAGACGCCACTGAAGACACAAACACAGCCTCAGTAATAATTACTGGATTGGGAACGTGTAAGGGAATGTAAGCTTTGGCTTCTGGAATTATCCCCGCGCAAGGAAAGCTTGCATTTTGCGTAGCAAAAGCCATCTGCAATGCAGATCCTACAGAGGGGGAAAAAACCCACCCACCACACGCAAACCAAGCAGCGGTGTACGTTACCAGACGGAGCCCGACACGCTGAGCGCCTTGAAACGCGCGGAGCCAGAGCGGATCCGTGTCACCAGGGCAGCAGCCAGAAACCCACCCAGCCAGCGCGTGCCACCGAGCAGACAGCCAGCACCAAGTGGCTCATGGGCACCCAGCACCGGGGTCTCAGGGGGGTCACCCTAGGCACCACCACATCCAAAGGTGCCTCTGGATCGGCAAGTAACCGGTGCGGCAGCAGGGGCAGGGAGCACGGCAGCAAGGCTGCGGAGCACGACCTACGCGGGGTCATTACTCAGAGCTGGTTTTGAGAACTGATGTGCAGTTCTCTCTCCTGGCTGTAAGCTTTTAAGACGTTAATGGTCACAGCCTTCATCCCACGGGAGGGCTGGATGTGTGCTTTTCTTTCAGGAAATTCCCAAATTGTCATTCAGCTACCAGCAGCACACCAACCATTTTGGGACATGAAATGCCACTTGCAGAAACTGCAGCCGCTGCTCCGAGGATACATCCATGGAAACCCTCCCAGGGCTGCCCTTGAGAACAGAGTGATGCAGCCCCACGAAAGCTCTGACCGACGAGTTCACGCTGCTGCCAGTTCCAATGAGCAGCAGCACAGGGTTTATACAGGCCCTTTGCAGCAGCTTGCCCCCATGCTGCTGCTGCTAGCCACCAGCCCAGCCGAAGCCCTGACCACCGGCCAGCCCAGTGTTTGCTATTCAACACCCTGCCCTGCCTCGATCCGTGCTTTTCCCTCCAGCCTGGCCTTTGGAAGCCTATCAAATGCCTTTGGTAAGCTGAACACACTCCTCCCGCTGAATGCCTCTTATTCAGCCCCACGGGGGTACCTCTGCTGAGCTGTGGCTCATCCATTCAGCCGACTCCTCAACCAGCTCCCCCACAAAGCCGGCACTGCCAGGGTCTCCCCCAGTCCTGCCCCTGGCTCGCTCCTGCCAGCAGCCTGCTGTCCCTGCAAACAGGAACTCGGTTATAGCTTCCAGGTTTGGGTGTTGGCTCTGGAGCTGTATTTTCCATCTTCCCAAATCCAAAGAGCTTTTAGTTGAAGTGTTTGGGAAAAAAAAATAAAAAAGTGACTATTTGCATCCTCAGGCCCCCCTTTGAGTTCAGGAACACATCTATTTCTCAGTGGATGCACAGTCTGCTCTCCAGGCACAGGGGAGCCTGTGTTCAGGGATCAGAAGCCAAGGCAGAAGGGATGGATGAGGCTGCGACCCCTAGGGATGCACCTTCCCCTGCCTGACACAGCAGTAGTTTGAAGTGACACCAACAGCAATCCCCCTGCATGCAGGGGGTACCTGCACAGAGCCCACTCCCAGCAGGCTTTTCCTTGGGGGACAGATGTTACAGATGTTTCAGCGCAAAGCACGTTCATGATCATGCAACTTGTTCATTACTGCTTCTGACTTCAAGAAAGAGCATTAGTCTGCTACAAAGAGGAGACATTACCTATGTCCCACTGGATGCAGAGATGCCCATATTTTTCACAGGTGTCTGCAGCTTAAAAGGTCTTTAAATACCCTGACAAAGAAAGGAAGCTGCTTGTGAGCACAACCCTTGCAGCTCGTTTATGGTGGATGACACTACCTGTATTTCATCAGCCAACTCCCCTCCAGCCATTCCCACACCCTACACGCAGCAGACTGGAGCTGCTCTTTGGTCCAGCACCTCACCTTTGAATTACAGACACCATCTTACTACCCCCTGTCCCAGTCAGCTCCTTGCCATACAGAGACCTTACTCCTGGTCTGAGTTTATGGCTTGCACACCGTCCCTTGTACCCGTTTCTCACAGAGCGAGCTGTCGCTTCTAAGCGTGATGAATGCCGCAGCCACGCTGGCTCCCTCCACATTCCTCTTCCCCTGCAGACTACAAAGATGTCCCATTGGATCTCACCGACAGTAGCCAGGTGTACCTGATTTTCCTCTTGCTGTGTGGCATTACACACCTTATCTGGCTCCTTTAAGCATGCTCTAGAACATACTCTCCTCCTTTGAACCAGTAGCATTACTGCCTCTGCTTCATTATCAACTTCAAGTTTTACACGGCTGTAAAACTCCACTTATTATTTATCATCCCTGATTCGCCGCCAATATTTGTTCCAGTTTCCGCCCTCTGCTTTGCCGTTTATGCACTGCAGGACTGGCCAGCTATCCAGGCACCGTTCACACAAACCTTGAAAGCCAGCAAACTGCACACTTTGGGGTGCGGGGGGAGGGACAAGGGTGCCCCAGCAGCCTCACCACCCCACGAGCAAGAAGGGCTGGGACACAGCAGGGTGTGAGGAGCTGAATTGGTCCCAGGAAGTGTCTCTGAGCCTGCCTCCCTGTGCCAGGCCATCCCCCACGGTCCCCATCTGCCTGCTCCTGAAGAAAGGCTCGGAGTTGGGCCAAAGAACTGAGCCCAAATGCCCAAGAGCCACTTGCTCACCACCTCTACAGAGGGGAGACCCCAAGGGCTCAGACTCCACCACCACATTTTCATCTTAAGTCTTGTCTTTGGGAAGGGCAGAAGATAAGGCAGCCACAATGGGTTAAAGACTCTCATTACAGTCTCAAATCCAGGTTCTGCGGCATCCAAGTCAGGTTGCTCTTTCCCCCCACGATCAGCATTACCTGGCCAGACAGAAGGTTACAGCGGCAGAGAGATCAGACTTGTTTCACCGCAGCGGAGAGGTGGCATCGTGGCTTTCGGTGCTGACTGAGCGGTTAAACGGTGCTTTGCTCCACACTGAAGGCAGACGCAAGTTCGATGAGTCCTAGATCAGCATGTTCCGCAGCCAGTGGGAACATACCTCAAGCAGCTGGCACAGGAATAGGACTGAGGAGTTTATATCCTCCCTGGATGTGAAGGCCAACTGAACACGAAAGCACTTGTAAGAACAGCAGCTGACTACACAAGTTTTGCTAGTTTTGTAACTGCACCTCCAGTTTGCCAAGCTAGTCCATAACAGCCTGAGTAAAATCACAGCTGTTTTCCTACAATCTCCGAAGGGGGAGAGTGAAAGAGAAGCGGAGCATCTTCAGAAATAAACCTTTATTTACGTTAAGGCAGACACTGCAAGGTACCAGCTTACATCAGGTCTCACTTCAGTGGCTGACCAAAGAACTACAGAGCACCAGGAGATGCAACAGAACTATCTCTAGCTAAAAATAGGCCAAGCTAATGAACAGAACCTCATTGGAGGGGACACCCAGCAGCAAGCGTAACCTCTTCATTCTCTACAAGGGGATGATCAGTATTGACTGTCTCAACAGCAAACCCTCAAGGTGACTTCAACGTGAGCAAATGCTCAGCTGGAGAGACTCAAAGAAACTCTCTTATCATACACTGGGTTTCTTTTCTCCCTGTTTAATGCCATGTAATGCTAGAGCACCCTGCCTTTCCTAACCGCTGTAATAAATACATATCAATCTCTTTCAAGATTAATAAATAGGGATCCTAAAAGCTCTGTCCAGATCTGCTTTTTCCATTCAATTAATATAACACAATACCAGCACAATGAATTATTGAAGAGAAATACAAGCCAGAGCTTTCACAAACACGCTCTACTCCAATAGCAATTTATTACAAATTAATAGCGTGCTGCATTTCCTCCTGCACCATGAGAGCTGGAAACCAGCCACGCTGCCAGGCTGCAGCAGCCACCAAAACTTCAGAGCTGCCACAAAACTCTACAGTCCTGAGCACAAACAAGCTGGGGAGGGGGGCAGAAAACCAGCAGCCACGTCTGCTTCAGAGGTTTCCTACTCATGAAACAACACTGTTTGTAGAGGAATCATCGGTCTTCCCCCATGCTTGCTCGTACTGGCACTGTGTGCAGGGCTGACAACGCGGTGCATGTGCATCGCCGCGTGAAAGCAACACTGACGTTTGAGACAAGCGTTGCTGAGAAGAGAATTAATTAACGTGCAACTATGATAATTCATATTTGCACATTTAAAATTACAGCTGCTCAGCAGGAGGCTTCCAATACTTTTTACACCCTGCTCTTAATAACACGCTTGCCCCAAAATGACCCTCTAACACTCACACTGGAGATGAGCCCCAAACTGAAAACATCTTTTCTTCAGCAAAGCAGTTCAAATGCCAACCAGCCAGAAAAATATTTCACGTTTCACCAAGCTATTGCTCTGAAAGCACCTTCAACAAGCCCACCAAGAGTAACAGAGTTGTCACAGGCCTCTCTTGGGGAGCTGTTTCAAGACTGCCTACCAGCGAGTTCAAAGGTCTGGTTTAATGTGTTTCTTGCTTGAAATCACCTGCACATGCTGATCCTCTGAACAGCTGGAGTCAAGGCAAACGCACTAGTGCCCGTTGTTCAGATGTTACACTGGAGCAGACAGACAGACACCTCTGGCAGCGCGTCAGCCAAGAGCCGCTCCTCTATCCGTGCGGCAAACCTCCATGAAGTCGCAGGTGAGAGCACACACCAAACCAGGAGGGATCTTGCCTTGACGACTTTTCTGTTCCCAACACACATTTAGGAAGGAAACGTCCTGAGAAACAGGAAAACATGCAACCACCACCAGCACAACTGCTGTACCACCACTCAAATGCACTCGACCCCTCTGCCAACACAAAGTGACTTTCCGAGAACCAAACCCAGCTTGATTGCACCACGAGACTGTTAACCCCTGTGGCATCAAACCTGGTGTTTCCCTGTCCTCCCATGCGGCACAGCAGCAAACTCACCTCCATTTTTGATAGCTCTGATCCCCCGATGGAAATCTTCGAAGCTGATGACTCCAAGTCCGCTCGGATCGAGGTACTTGGTTAGGTCCTTTACCTGCAACCACACAAACGCAGCGTTACCCACAGAGCCCTTCGGGGAAACAGCACCTTCCGCCAGCGAAACACCTTGGAACAGATTTTTCCTCCTTATAGAAAAAGATTTGAGCTAATGGCAGTGAATTTCTTAAACTGACACCAAACTGGCCATTCTCCTTGAAGGGAACATCAGTAATCAGTACTTAGTTAATTAGTTAGTGGGTTAATTAGTACTTGGCTGAAATTATTGCTCAGTTTTGAAACATAGGTTAAGGCAGGATTTCGTGCAACATGGTCCTTCTCCATCAGGGATTCATTTGTTTCTATGTTTTTTAAAAGAGGCCCTATCTTAATTGGCAAAACTCAATAATAGGCTGCCCAGTATGAGGGCCCAATTAAGAGGATTCAGTGGTAATGAACTGCTCCACGTTACAAATTTAGGTCATATAATTGAAACATTTTCACAATTAGACAATGCCCAAGGGGGAAGGAATCACGTCAGCTAGCGAGGATTAGGATGCGGGTGCCGGGGAAGGCAAACACATGGAGCAAGAGATGCTCGTGAGACACAGCAAGGGTGGGCCTGTCCTCCAGAAAACCCCTTACCCCACTGATGCTTCCCAAGTTAAGACAACCAGGCAGTTTTTCTGCTTTAAAAAAAACACAGACCCTCATTTTAAGGGATACTGAAGCACCTTCGTGTATGTTAGAGCCACAGCCTTCAACTCAGAAACAAGCCCAGGAGGAAGCAGGGTGTAAGAGGCAAAAGAAGCCATTTCACAATTAGGTCCCTACTCAAAAGCTGACTGCACAGCTGCCCTCACCCTGCCAAAAACATCCACCTCTCCTGCCCCAGAGCTGACACACAGGAGGAAGAAGTCTGCAGGTGGTCTGCAGTGCTGGATTTGTTCAGCTCTCACGAGCCTTTTCACTCCCTTCGTTTTGGCTTGTTCTTGGAGAACAAGATGGTGAATCATCCAAACCTCTCCTTCCAGGGAAGGAAATCTCCTGTCTAAAAGGAGACTGAACATCTGAGGGTGCGGAGGACAACTGAGCCCAGCCGCGGTGCTCGGAACTGCCCAACTCATTACGCATCAGGAGGGGATTTAGTTTGCTTTCTGTTTTGCTTCAACCCATGTATGTGTTCATACAGGAAAAAAAAAAAAAATCACATCTGCAACAGGCTCAGAGCTGTTCACCCGCATGGAATCAAACATGATGAGGGCAGGCAGGAGATGTCTCTGCTTCAGGCATCCCACCTTCCCCCAGCAGCAGCGAGCAGGCTGCCGGCACGGAGGGAACCATGGGGCTGGGACGGTGAGCAACGCTCGGTTGTGTCTCTGCTGGGCTGCCACGAGAGAAAGCCCCGAGTCCCAGCACGGCACCAGCTTGCCCGCCAGCCGGCTCACTCCACCAGGAACAGGGAGAAGACACCATCACCATTTTCTCCAGTTTTCTGGGGAACTTGTCCAGTACGGATACCAAAACTGCTGAACTCGCACGCCACACTTTGACTTGGATGAGTCGGGCTTCTTGCACGTTAAATAAAGGTATTTCAGACTAATAAAAACAACTCTCAGGAATGTGTCAGTTCCAGTTAACGCATCTGGCAGCTTCTCGGAGTTCAAAAGCTGTAGCTTAATTTGTTATCTGTGTATATAGATAACAGAAATGCAAGCGACATTTAATCAGACTTGATAAACCTCGAAGTGATTATCATGACACACTCTGAAGTATGGCTTCTGTAAAGATCCAGCCACGATGACACATGAGACACGCGGGCAGGGCTGCTCATGAGCTGCTGCAGTGGGCGGCTTCTCAGGACGAAGACAGGCTTCAAGCCCTCTTGCCAATAGCCCAGCAAGGCACCTCTCCCACACTGGTGCTTGTGCAAAAGAGACAGAGCAGCCAAAAAATGACAAAAAGATTTTGTTTATGTAGAAAAACCACCGATGTGCTTAAATTAAGCTGTGGGCAGGGAGGAAATGAGCGGAAATATTTCTTAAAACTTCACAACCCTGACATTACGGATGCAAAAAACAAAAGCCACGTAACAGGTGAAGCTCAAGGCCATGGTGGTATGTTAAGCGGGTTGGGATCAGCACAGTATTTGCTGTCCAGGCTCAAAGGAACCCTGATCATTAAAGAGCCCATTGAGACAACGCTCCCTTCACCAGACTGAGTGCATGCAGCCACTGACACTCAGAAGAGCTAACACCACAAAGAGGACAAGAACATCAGCAGTGCCTGCCTGGTTCGCTCAGCCCCTGCGAGACGCTCTCCAGGGAGAGCGGAGGCTGTGTCCTGCAGGTCAGCATCTCCTAGCACCCACAGCAATGGAGCCAGGGATGCTAGGGCAGGGGACATCCCTGCCCAGGCCCTTCACTGTCCACAAGCATCTGAACCTGCCTCCACCACCTCTGGGGCTGCAAGCTCCAGGAGCTCACTACTGCTCTATACAGGAGTGTCTTCTTTTAACTCTTCTGCACCCATTTTCTGCTATAACATCCAGGGAGGTGGTGGAGTCACCATCCCTGGATGTGTTTAAGAGACGGGTGGATGAGGTGCTGAGAGATATGGTTTAGTGGCGGACAGATACGGTCTGGATGACCTCTAAGGTCTTTTCCAACCCAGTGATTCTATGATTCTATTTCATCAACTACCTCCCAGTTCTACCCCTGAAAGATGTGGTGAGGTGCAAGTGTGATCCCTGTTGACCCACCTCCTCCTCGAGGGGTCCCAGCCTGCCCACCCTCCCGTCGCAAGGTAGATGGTCCAGCCTCCCGACCATCTTAATCATCCTTCCTTCTCCAGCCCCCTCCATCCCTTTTGAAGGTGAAGGGCATAAGCGTGCACACTATTCGAGACAGGGTACATCAAGATCTTGAACGGTGCCAGAGGTCCTCAGCGTTACTCCCTAACCCTAACTCCTCCCGAGGCCCACTGCCTCACTCACACCCCAGCTGTCACGGCACTGAGCCACCCGCGTCAGGAACGACCAACGACAGCTCTGGCATCTCCCTCCTGGGTTCCAACTGCCAGTTTTCTCCGTTTCTTCATTTTGATGACTAGGCTGAAAGCCCTATCTTATTAGGACAGCTGGGAAAAACCCCAAGCATTACGGTTCAGACTGGTTTAGATTAGCAAATCTTAGCAGCTCTGGAGTCAGATTTGTTGCTGTTAGCCGAAGACTAATCTGCAAGAGTGGAGTAGCTAACACCACACTCCCATCAGCAAACCAAGCTGCAGGGCTAAGCTAGAAACAGGCACACACAAGCCACAGTCACAGGGAGGCTCCTGCTTTCCAGCAAGAAATATTCAAAAATCAAAGTTTTGCTTAATGTGTGTGTTTGTAGCTGGGTACAAACTCTTCTTGAAGAAACAGCAGCTAGAAATACAGAGCAGCAAAGAGGATAACATGGTTTAAATAGTGGATTCAAATCCTGGTGGAAAGCGAGAGGTTTAAGCTACTTGAAGTCAATCTGTCTTAAGCTGAACAGACACAAGCCTGCAGAAGCAGGACTGGTGGTGGGAAGCGCCAAAGGGGCTCTGCTCGTCCCTGTGTCGAGGACGAGGCACAGCCTGGAGCAAAGGTGGAATGAGCTCCTTGCATGGAGCTCCATCCAGAAGGGATTTCTCCTGGTAAGGGACAGAGAGAGGGAAGGAGAAGGGAGATCATCTGGCATCTCAACAACAGAACAAGAACTCATTGCACCAACCACGTCTTTGCACTGAAGAGCTCTGCATGCTGGCAGGGTGCTTCGCCTTCCACACCCAACAAGACCTGCTGCCAACCAACACCCATCTCCCACGAGCCCCTGCGAGCACGTACGCCAGCGCCGTGCCGCACTGCTGCGCCGGCTGCCAGCAGCTTCCCGCCATGCCGAGCGGAGAGCTTCCTCGCCGTGAAGGCAGTGTGGTACACGCTTTCGAGCCTCAGCTGAGACAGCAGTGACAACCCCACGTTCAGATTAACGCCGAGGCTTGGCAGCCACACAGCGAGTTTTCCAGGGAGGGGAGGGATTCCCAGCAGTGAGTGACCCTGGTAAGCAGGTGGAGGAAAAGGAAGCTCCAGGACACTTTATCCTTCTTGATGCTCCACACAGCCGATGGATTCAGCAGAACAAAACATCCACTGTACTTGTCTTAAGCATTGATCTCGGAAGGGAGGGAGGGCTGTGCTGGCCAGCAGACACTCTCCTTCTAACCCCCGAGCCAGCCAGAAGTTTTGCTTCATATTCTGGCTCAGACTAGGGCTGAATCAACTTCCATAAAGAAATTCTTCCAGAGGGTGAAACGAGGGTGGGAGATTTCCACTGGCCACAGCCGTCAGGCACCTCAAAAAGAGCTGGCAGAGCTCAGCTCCTACAGCCGCATGGTATCTCATACCATGATGCTCCCAGCCCAGCCACAACAGGACCCACATCTCACCCTCCACACCACGTAAGCTAGCTACGTGCAGTAAGCTATTAGCAGTAAGTCAGCATTTCAGTACTGCTTTACTCCACAGATTCTGGAAGCAAATCCAAAGGAGACAAAGAGGAGGAATCAATACTGCTATATTCCTGATAAATAACCCCAAATACTCGAGGCAGGCCAGCAAGGAGGCGGCAGCTCCCATCAAGGACTTGCACGCCTGCAGACTCACACATGCTGCGATAAGCAGACAGATGCTTTTGCCTTGAGGTTGCTCCCTCCTTTCCTTGGAAAGGATGTGGCATGTGTTCTCAGTCTTCTGAGTAAGAGGGCAAGCATCAAGGTAAGGCACGGCGAACTGAGTGAGGATGAATATCTAGTCTGCTCAATACTCTCAGGCTTCCAAAGGGAACGACCACATGGATTACGTGCTGGAAGAACCTAGAGAGATATCAGAGACCTAGAAAACGCAGAGAGCCTTTAGAAAGACCCCAAGAGATCTGTCCAGATAAGGGACAACATGCCAGAGACTTACCAAGAGTCTGGTTGAACTGGGCGTCTGGCTTGGCGTGTTTTAGCCACACGAGCAATCAACAGGGACAG